TATCCTATTTGCGCTCCCACTGTCTAGCTCTCTCCTCTCTGAAACTCCCCCTCATGGCATTACGCACAGACAGCCACATTACATGTCATTTAGCCGACGCTGTTATCCAAAGCGACTTACAATAAGCCACGCTGATAATATCTACATGGAAGAGCTTAAAAGCACAAAAACGCTTTCGAAGTTCTTCTTTCAAATTTTAGTTTTCAGTTACTCTAAATGCGCTCAGGTATCAAAATTAGGTCAACAATGACATGGTTAGGGTTCAGTCCAATAGCTCGTCCATTGGCATCCCTGAAAATGCAAAGTTAAAAATATATACCGTTGAATGCATGTATGTCATTTAAATTTGTAGGTCACAAGTCCAAATGTGAATGCATGGGGTCTTTATTTTGTTGAGCCCCAGCGAGCATCTGCTTCTGCCGGATTCCCAACCTGTCAATCTCTGCCTTCCCTGCAGTGGGTGTGGCTTGTGAACGGCCTCCAGCCTCTTCTCATTGGCCTCATGCTGGGAGGGGCGTGTCGGTGCAGTGCCAGCGGCTGGCGTTGTGCAGTGCAGACTTTTACTAGGCTCGCTCGCTCTCCCCCTCTCTCTCTCTCTCCTCTCACACTCTTTTTCTTTTTTTTTTCTTCCCAAACTTGAAATTTTGAGGACACAATTAAAAAGGGAGCCAACACAAGCTGAGCGGTCTAAATGACACACAGAGTGCGCGTAAGGGTGTGGAACCATCTTTTCCCAACGGTCCCTGTGGCCGTGATTCACCAAGAGCCAATTTCAAGTTCTAAAAACACTACATTGTCGAAAAGAGAAACGAGGCCTCCGACGGGTGAAGTACGATCGGTCGAAAACACGCTGCTCATGAAATGTCCAGCTGCACTTACTAATGGGGGGGCCCGGTGCACCTGCTCTCACACTCACGCGTCTCTCGTTTCTCTTTGTCGCTCTGCGTGTTGTTGCTTTTCTTTGCAACGCCTTCTAGTTGGGTTGGATTTCTGGCATGACAAGCACCACATATTAATTGAATGTTCTTAACATTTAATACTGAATTTCGCACTAAGGATTTCCAAGTGCACAACATGCAGACAACACATTCGTGGGGATTAATTTAGGGGGGGGGGGGGGGGGGGGATGCTAAACAGTCAAGAGCACCGTGACCTTTTGTGTGCTTGATGGGAAATGCTGCTGCTTTGGATTCCAACTCTGTCCGGAGTGAGCAAATAGCAGCCAATTTGTTTTTGTCTCTTTTCAGACCTCACATGTACTCGCTCATACAGTGGTGCTTTCTTGCTCCTGCTGTCCTCATGCAACCCTGCAGCTCTCGGCCCCGCCTACAGGTGATGATCTCATCGCTGTTGGCTGCCGTAGTCACATACCAACATGTCTGGGAAGACGGAAGACCTGAACTGAAAACACTGGAACAGAGCATAGACGCCGGTGATGTCATCACAGAGCCCAGCTGAGCCCTACAGGGCATGATGACAACAACCCCCCCCTCCCCCACCCCCCATACTCCGACCCCTGATGACTCAACCCGTCCCATATGGAACGGGCAGCCCTTGTATAGCTCGGGATTGGATGTGGAACTAGTTAAAGCCCACCAAATGTCTGCTGGCACGGTCGCCACGTATAAACACGTAAACCAGGATTTTTGTCTCTGAATGTAAAACCTTGGCTACGGCATAGTTAGCTCTGCAGCTAACGGGGGAACTGGATCAGGATCAACTTAGATGGTATCTTCTGTAATCATCAGCTGGGACTTGCCAGCCGTTTGTTATGGTTCACAAAGGAAAACTCGATAAAAACCATAAATCCTATAATATGCTGACACATAAACATGAGTGCTAGTAAAATGAAAGTGATTTTAACGGCCATTGCGAAATACAGACAATTGGTCTCGTTTCATACAGACAGATGAATTTTGTATTTGGCAGCAAGTAAAATATCGATAAAAGTATTTGTCAGTTGCAGTTGAGCTGCTAGCTCAAAGACTTAAGCAGCACACACAGACACACTCCTCACTGGAACAGTACGGCCTGCCACCTGTCAAGTTCAATCTCCCAAACACTACTGTTCTTATAGTACTTTCTTTTCTTACTGTCAATGTTCTGCCTCAGGTTAGTTCCAGTTATACAGTCAAAAAGGTGGATTACTTCGATACAACTTGCTATAGTGATTGACACGTGCAACATCTAGTTCCAATAAGATGCCAAGAACCAGACCCTTCACATCATAAAGTGATGTCGGACTGTAGTGCACTTCCCTTGCGGTCAGTCCACACCAATCATGGTTTATAGTACCGATTCTGACGGACTGAGTCTTTCCACCATCCGACTACAGTAAATGAATCAGCGACCGTAGGAACAAATACAGCAGATCCCCTCACAGCTGGATGCTTTGGCTCCGGCACTCTAAGAGGTCACAGTACATTGAGAAACACTGCATGGTTGAGCAAGATGGGAAAACGGCGCTTTAATGGGAGTCATTTCCCCCCCCCCCCAAAAAATAGCTGGCAAATTCCTTACTGTAAACAAAGCAAATTAATTAGGGTTTTCTGAAAATCGCTTTTCTGGAATGAGCTTTCTTCCCTGCTGTGACATCGTAGTGATGATGGGACAATCACTGATGTTAAGGACAAAAAGGTAGGGTGGGGACATCTGTGCATTTCCCTAATCCCTTGAGCAATACTAAGAATAACAATCCCTGTTTAAAAAAACCCAAATCCTTAATCTTGCATCTGTCAAACTGTATAAACAACTCAGTAATGTCCTATATACACTAAACAACAAAAGAGGGTTCTTTTTTGCCATCTATATTTTAGTACTCTGACTTGGTATTTATTTGGGTGGATTAATTGACATATATATTTTAACGCCAGATTCCAGATAACACGCTAAGCAACTGTGTGTTATCTGAAATAACTGGCGTTTTCCTCTATCAACAGAGCCCGTTTGATTGCTCAGCCACCAATGGAAAACGGGCCGGTTGTCATTGTCAATGATATAAAACTACCTGTGATGTGACAGATCACACGTGGAAACCATGTGAAGACAACAAACACGAGCCACATGTCTACTCACATGGGAGGAGCAAGAGTTTATACCCAGAGGAATTGCTGGTAACGGGTATGACAGGGAAAATGGGGGGGGGGGGGGTTAACTGCGCTGTGATCAAAACCACTTAAAATCTTTTACAGAATAGGCTGTTGATCAAGGAATGTTTAGAAAGGCAACATAGTCGGTCACCCCAGTATGAATGGATGTCGTCTATTGAACAAAATATTTCCCCAGACACAAAGAGAGGATGTGAATAGTTTGCCTTAGAACAGCAGCATCTGTGACAGACATCAAATTACCTTCCATTAACTTCCCCACCTGTAGCGGCGCAGTGTGTAGACTTGTCAGAGGTCTGGTGCACTGAATTACAGCACAGGCAATATGGAAGTGTCTTATGAATGTGTTCTCCTTGCATTATCATCACCGCCCAGTCGTATATGTTGACGTTGTTTGGGATGTACTCAAACCAGCGTTGTTTTCAACACAGAGCTGTGATTCAGTGAAATGTATTGTATGTGGATGGGGGTAGTAACGCCCAGCAGACACGATATGTGCAGTGTCAGCACCATTAACAATCCAGGGTGCAAACAGGTAGGGCCGAGGGTCTCTTGGTGTTATTTATTCTTAACGGAGAAAAACTAATGTGAAAACGTCTGAAAAGCAACAAGAAGATTGGCTTGTGGGGCCGGAAGAGAATGCACCTGGGTCTGATGGAGAATAGCAATACCATATATATAAAATATACATTACATACATATAGGACAGTCAGAGTTTACCATGACTATTTAAGAAACTTTAAGGCATTATCCACCAATAACAGACCATAATAGCATAGTGTTGTGTATGAAATGCACCGTTATATCATGACAGGGATGGGAGAAACTAGAAGAGGAGGCGGGAGATGATCTACATCGGCCTACAAAAAGGCAGAACTACGTCTTAAAACATGTCGCAAGCAGAAGGGAAATAAACGATTAGCGGTGAGGACAGTGGTTAATAAGTGAAGTTTGATAAAAACCACCCCGCCTGAGCAATAATATAGAGCAATAATGTCTCGTGGTGAACTGCACCGGCAGGACAACAGTCCGCTCGATGCTTCTGCGCGTGTCGGTCCGTCTGCATGCAGTAAAACAAAAAAAAGCCCCGTGAGGGGAGGAGGCATCACCGGGGGTAACGTTCCGCCTGCACCGCGGAGCCGCACAAATCAAAGTCTACACAAAACAACAACGTCGGACTCCCGAAAGTTGCGAGACGAACGTGCGCGCGGCGAGTCGCGAGCTGGCGGCCGTTGGCGGTGCGGAGTTTAACGGCCGTTTGCGTCGGCCGGCTCGAGACGTGACGGTGGGGCGCAAAAAAAAAAAAAAAGGAAGAAAAAAAACACGCGCACACACACACACACACACACTCCCCAAACGTTCCCCCCTTCTCGCCATCGACGTAACAACATGTCGGCAAAGGACGGCCATGTTTTGCTGGTTATGTCGACGCAGGGAGGAGGAAAAGTAGACACGATGTCTCTCCGCTCCGCCGCCTCGCACCGCGGCCTCGACGTGTCGAAGTGAAACTCAAACACCGCGGGGAGAAAAACGTCCGATTAAACAACTTGACGGACACGACGTCTCGGGCACGCGGCCGAGGCAAAGTTCACTCGGCGACCCAAGTAAACACCAGACCGAGCGCGCGGCTGCTGGGGGGGAGGACACGCGAAGGCGGTGCGAGCCAGTGGACGGCCACGAAATAACTGCTAACGCTATATGCAGTTTTAACTTGAGGGACTTTGAATGGGCGGGTGGGAGGCAGGGAGAGGGGGGGGGGGGGTACAGAGGAGGAAGAGTTTATCTATTTCTTACCTGCCCACCGTTTTGGCGCGATGCTCAGGTGACGCGATACACTCCCAAAAGCGACCGCTACGGCGAGAAGGAGACCGACCGCTCTCAAACACCCGGGCTGCGGTCCGGCGACCGAGCAGACAACAGGCGACAGGAAGGAGAACATTGGCGATCACAAGGAGGATCTACGCCAAAAGCCACATGATCGCCGACGTCACAGTACGTATTTGCATGCCGTACCGGCGCGCCGCTATCCGTCCACAGCGGCTCCATGGCGGTGTTGCCGTGAAAAGTTGAGGAACGGGGCCGGAGGGAAGCGAACTAACTGCGCGTTCCAGACGGTGGGAACAGGACCGGTGGAGCCCGCTGCGTGGGAATGAACTAACGGCGCCTTGTTGCCTTCAACTTGTCTCCGCGCTGATGCTTGCCCGCCTCGTCGCTCGGAGCTCATTGAATATTACAGGATCCGAGGGGGCGTTTGTTGCCCCGCCCCCTCCCCACAATGCCCTCCCTCGGTTACCACGCCCACTGCTCTTTCTCTCCCCTCGTTTCCTCTGCGTGCATGTGACGCTCGGTGAAGAGTTGCTGCAGTGGGGGGGGGGGGGGCTGTATTAATCATCGTCCATCATCACACACACACACACACACACACAGATACCTCCCTCACATCTGTAGAGGTTAGTCTGGGGTCAGTGGGTGCTCAATGCTTGGATTGGCCTCAAGTGACACAGACGGCTCATGGCGCTGGATCCTCGTTAGAATACATATTGACCTTGGCTCACGTTCTTCTTGTAGATATGGGGGGAGTCACCTCTGCACAATTTGTTTTGCAGCGATTTTACCCAACTCACTCTGGGTCATTTGTGCATAAAAATGTAAAAGGATCATGATGAAGTGTTATTGTAGCGAAGTGTGAAGCCTGTTTTAACAGAGAGGTCAAACTGATATCTGTTCTTTTGTTTTTGCACAACAGGACCGCGGCCGGCTGACATGTGGACTGAACATAACTCACATAACTAGACGTTATGTGCAGAACCAACAGCATCTATTTGTATAGCTTTAGCCATTATGTATCTAGTAGCTTGTTCAGTTTCTGCATGAATTGTAGTGTAGCTGTTTCGGATGTCCTTAGTCAAACTGAGTGTCCTGTTGTTGATATTCTGCTTGAGTTGTGAGAACACTGATCCAACTCCCCAGGCTAAATGATAGCAAACATCCAAAGAAAGCTGATAAATTGCCTGTCTTTCACAGTATTATGAAGGGGAAATGATAAAACATCACAACAGTTAAACATCAGCAGGGGGTAATTTCTCCAACATTGTGTTGAAAATCAAATCTACCTCCAGAAGGTTTTACCATGTCGTTGATTCACATTTTTATGTGTCTTCCAGACCTGACATCAAAACCATCTTTTGAAAGTAAAGAACTGGTAAAAATAGTTTTGTGTGTGTGTGAGTAATGAGTAAGGAAAGAGTTTGGTATTTTAGCGCGGGTGATCACCTGTCTGCTCTGAGCCTTTCACACAAAATTCAGTAACAAGCTATCTGAATGTGTTAAAGTGGTCAATTTACCCCTCAGCTGTCAGGCCACTGATGTGTTTTCTGCTGCTTTAATCATTATTTACAGTGGTTCAAGTTTGGCTTGATTCCACGGCCCCTGCAGAGCACCATTCATTGAAAGTGGACCAATCTTCTTTCCTTTACCGAAGTGTGAAAGAAACAGAGCTGACAAGGTGTCACAAGCCTTCTTTTATGTCCCCCTCGGGCCTCGTAGAAAAACTCAGTATGAAAGAGAGATGTTTTTAAGCCAGACTGGATTTTAAGGGGCTTCTCTGTGAACCTGTCCGTCGGGACATAGGCCAGACAGAACAAAGCCGCTCCCCACTGCACCAGCGAGGCCAAAACAGTTATGATTTTATGGGAGTTTATTGCAGCCTACATTACATTACATGTCATTTAGCAGACGTTTTTGTCCAAAGCGACTTGCATTTCAAACATAAGGATACACACCCAGAGGAACAAGAAAGTTCAATTACTTCAAGTAAGCCGATTTACAACTCGCCATAGCTAAAGTTTGTTTTGTGTTTTTTCGTCACGCCAGGACAGCAGAGTCGTGATCTTGTCGAGTGTTTCGATCCTGGTCTACACGAGTGCACCGTGCTACTTAATGCATGTTCCACCTTTGTGCCAACAGAGGGATGCTGGTAGAGTCAGAATCAGAAACATTTATCTGCCAAGTATGTTGAACAGGATATTGTCATGGAGGGTGGTGCATGCATGGAACAAAAGAGAATCATTCTCTATTTTAAACTATTTTAAAATAAAATATAAGTAAAAAAGATAAAGGTGAAGGTGTACAGGCAGATAACAGATAACAATACTACTACACTACTACTACTACTACTTCAAATAGAGTCAGTCAGTGGGGGACCTCGGTGCTGATGGAACTCAACCGTTTGCCAGGTGGAAGGAGCACAAACAGCTTCCGGGGTGAAAAGGGTCGGTTACGAATCTTTCCAGCTCGCTTCAGGGTCCTAGAAGCGAGCTGGAGGGACAGCAGATTGGTGGGGCTTCCAGATATCCACAACCATCTTCACTGTCTTGAAGTTGCTTTGCCTCCACAACGTCACCAGATGGTCAGATTCCCACCTGTCGGCAGACTCGTCCCCACCAGAGATGAGTCCAACGAGGGTGGTGTCGTCCGTAAACTTCAAGAGCTTGACAGACTGGCGGCTGGAGGTGTAGAGGGAGAAGAGGGGAAAGAACGCAGCCTTCAGGGGAACCGGAGCTGATGGGCCGAGAGGCTGAGACATGTTTTCCCAGCTTCAAGTGCTGCTGCCTGTCAGAGAGGAAGTCTGTGATCCACTTGCAGGTGGAGTCGGGTGATGCAGCATGCTGGAGGAATCCTAGTAATCCTAAACCACCAAAAATATATCCAGAATCCAGGTTAGAAAAAATATATTATTACTTATTTGTGGCTTATCAAATAATAACAAGGCTCTGGGTTCGAGCCCCTTTTACAGTTTCTTCAATGCAAATTCCGAACATCAGCTGCAGTTAATGTGGCGACGTGCTTTGGGTATCATAGGTGACGGGGATCATGGACCTGAATGTTGATGGGTTAAATCATCTGTGGAAAATGTGAGCAAATGTGTCACACAATATCTGTTCTTTTTTCTGTAAAGTCAACAATACAAGCTTATGTAAATAACAATACAAATCCATGGAGAGAAAGTAGCTGTAACGTCTGAGGTGCCTTTTGGTGTGGAACATTACCATCATGCACTTATTTTGTGAGCCATTAACAGACAATATTCAGCAAAGGCAAAAGTTGTGTTTCAGAATAGAGCAATTTTTACAACCAATGTGATCTTTGCTGAGGAAATTGTCTTTTACAGACAGATTTTACCTTTGAAAGCTCACAAAAGTTGATTACCTTCCAACTCTTACAAAGGAAGTAAACTTATCAAGCTCTGGCGATGATGATGCATTTCTGTTACAAATTTTGTGTCGGTTCTCTTTTTCCCTAAATAATTTGTAAAAAATGTATTCAATTCCTTTGACTTCAATATTCCAGTTGGTATGAATATATTTAGAACATACCTTCCTAATCCGTGAGACACGGAACTCTGTAAATGTGTAAACTTCATTAAAGTAGAAGGTCACTAGGTGGTGCCACATGGCTGTACAAACCGCTCCTAGTTTACAATCTGAAGCGTCCTGCCTAAAGCATGGGTCTCCGTTTCCAGCCTGAAGTGGTCTATCCTGTGCTTTTTATTTTATTTATCACTTTCATGTATTTCAATCAGCGAATTGAATAAGGATGCTTACGTTTGCCGGATTTGTGTTGGTTGAACCCAAAGTCTTTATTGCATCGTTAGAAAGCATAAAACCTGCATGATGCATCAAATTCAAATTCAAAAAGCTTAGAAACATTAAAAAGTCAAATCCAATCCAGCCAGCCCGGCTAACTAGCTACAAGTTGAAGATGAGAAGTCTGTCTTTGACAAATAACTATATTTTAGTTGTAAATCTGCACAATAACTGTGTCAATGTGTCAATCTAGACAGTAAAAGACCATAGGTCAACAACTACACTACTACTACAACAAGGGGATGGTCTTAACGAATAGTTAATTGATACATATGCTGCCCTAATATTACATTAATAGGCTATTGTAGCGTTTTACTGTTCTTTAACTGTTGAGATGGAACTATGCTATTGTGTGGCCAGTTAGTGTGCATTGTGGGATGCGTGTTTTTTCAGGTTATGCATGTACGTCGAGCAGTCTTGGCCCATTCAGACAGCAGACAGTTGGAATATATTCAAAATGCTGTTTGGTAAGAATGTATTCACAAATGAGCAGTGGGGTCAATAAATCCTGTTATCACCACTGAAACGTCATGCAGACTTCCCTTCCCACGTTCAGGTTTGACCGTGACACACAGCTGTGGATACAACTATCGCACAGCAAACAAAGAGGAGGAGAGAGGAGGAGTGGGGAAACTCAGGGGAGGGAATAAGAGTAACGGGACAGTATTAATAAAAAGAGAGGTTCCAAATCCAATGTGAACAACTAAAGAAAGAGTGCAAAGGGAAGGACGGTAGGATTTATCTGAAGCCTTAAAATGTAGTCTGGCAAAGTACCTATCTGAAGTCTCTTATTGGTAGACAGCAAACAGTACAAAGAATAAAACTTGTTAAACTGCTCATTCGGTTTCATTCCGCTGTCATCCGGTCTGTTCTCTGCAACTCCCTCCCGGTGGGGTTTGGATCGGCTACCAAGCAGGATGGGAGAAGACTGTCAGGTCTGCAGATTGAGTCGTTGGCTGCCCCCCCATCCTGGATTTGTTCATCTGCAGAGGCCGAAAACAGGCGGAAACATCGGTGTAGACCCGTTACACCCGGGACACAACCAGCCCTCTGGTGGGCGCTACAGAGCAATGTACGCCAGCACACACAGGACCAGCTTCTTTCTACTGGCCCATCACTCTGATTAAATTACCTCTATTTCATGGTCATTGTTGTTTTTTATGTTCGTACGTATGCATGTACTTTTGTATTTACATTTGTACATAGTAGTTCATGTTTATGCTTGTATCTCTTCGATTGCTTGTCCTTTTTTTTTCTTTTTGTATGTGTACAGTATATTATATGTAAGTGCCTATAGAAATAATGGAGTCAAATTCCTTGTATGCATACGCATCATGACCAAGAGAGGCGATTCTGATTCTGAGTAGAATCAAACAGCAGGTACAGAAAAGACTTCTGCAGAGACCCCCGCTCAGTCCCAGCAGATGAGCGTCTAATCAAGTCCAGAGTTTGGACTGCAGGTCCATTAAGTACACAGCAGGTTTAGCAAATGCACAGAAATCGTTTCAAAGGAAAGGAGCAACCTTTGAATTAAGATTTTTTACAAAGGTGTTCTGCTATTTACTGAAGATTGTCTCATTGGCTCAGATGAGGAGCTCGAAGGCAACTAAACAATCTTTTCACTGTACACTGATCAAAGGAGCATCAGTCCTCAAATGATTTTGTTGGACAAGAAAATAATGTGAGAATATACAAACATGCTGTAGCGTAGTATTTTCAGGCACTCCATCTCCTTCCATCAACGGTATGATGAAACATTTCATTATGCCTGAAAATCCTACTAGGCAGTACAAGGAGGAAACCAGATCACTGTTCTTTCTCCGGTCACACTGCCTTTGTGGGAGACTGCCTCTCATCCACGTCTAACTATCTTTGATTTGAAATAAAGTCTTTTGTAATAGACAAAATGCTCCTTTTTTGTGATAAAAAAGGAGCATTCTTTCTAATCACGTTTTTTTTTGAAAGATTGACAGTAATGTGCTTTCCCAAAGCACTCAAGAACAGTAAAATGGCCATTCTTAATAACTCCTCTTAATATCCACTGGTCACATGAATAACATACTTATTCTAATGTAGTTTTTTGTTGTTTGATGAAAATATTTATAGTGTTCATAGTATAGCCAACCGTTTCTGATTCTGAAATTAGCGGCCCGATAGTCCGCTGCCACTACGCATCCGACTCAAAGAGATGAATAGATGGGATGAGGCTGGCACAGTGAAAGGAAGATGATATTAAAATATAAAGGCTAATTCTAAGATAAAGGCAAACATTTGGGACTTATCTAGTTCATGAAATAAAATAATATTAATGCCCTACGATCAGACAATTACCCGTCTCTCCCCAGAGTGTCATTTATTTGTATTTTTTTTGTAATTTTATTGTTGGTGGGAGGATAGCAGATGCATCTCCTGAGAGGTGTGGGCATCCTCTTGCAGTGTTTTAATTTGGGTTCCTGTGACCCCGATGGTCAGTTTGGGAGCTGGCGTCTGCTCTCCGTCCAGCGAAGCAGCCTCCCGGCGTCGTGGCGTGAGGGCGGAGGGTCCAAGGGTTCCGGTTCTCGTCTCACTTGTAGTCTGAGTTTTAAAGCCACTGTAGATGTCATATTCGTCCACGCTGCGTCAAGGCTTTGAAGGCGTGCTTTCATTTTTAAAAACGTTTTTCCAAATGATGAGAAGACGGTGGCTTAGACCTTGGGGGTTAAGTTACACTTTGCACCGCTGCCACTTTTTTTTGCCCACTGAAATAATGAATAATTAAAATGATAAGAAATTAAACACCTATTGGGAAAATTCCAATTTGCACTATAGAAATAACTCATTTTTTTCACATGCAATTCAGTGTACTGCATTTAATAAACATATTATGAGTTTACTTTAGTGTGCTTCCAAATGTGTGTGCAGGAGGAAAAACATTCACAGAGAAACTATATGTCTTTGTAGCTTAAAAAACAGTTTAGACACGCTTGTTGCATTATATTAAATCATTCTATTGTGCAACCATCCACTCTGTCAGTGGACACACCCTGGTTTCACTGTGTATCTACGTAGTTTACATTTGCATGATGCACTTATGCTGTTGTTCTGTAATTAAAGTATACAAGACCAACATTATGTTATCTGTTGCAATGAGCCGGCTACTATTACAGTGTGTGTTTCCCTTTTATGTGTGTGTATATAGAGTTTCAGAAAGCCTCTTCTTGCTTGTCTGGTAAAAACTTGCATCCAGCAGTATAACGACAGTGCTGTAAACAGTGCTGTGGATTTATTCAGTATATAGTTTCGATTTTTTTTATTGTTACGTTTTTATTGCAGGGCTTGTGAGTAAAGCTATAATCTCTTAAAGAACACACTCTTCTACCCCGTCATCTCTGTCTTGCTGTTTCTGCCTGTTGTATACATTTCTCATTGAGTCATTAAAGTGTTTTCCACTTTCGCTTTGTTGCTCTTCCTCTCCTCCCTGTGATTCGTAAGCCAAAGCGTTCCTTAATCCTTTGTCGGTTTGCTTGGGTTTTTTCATTTTGATCACTAATTATAGATGTCACAGCTGTTTTTTTACAGGTTCTTTCCAACCTATTTCAGTGACTTCCATAAGAGGCAAAAACATATTCACCTGTAGCTGAATGAACAATGCCTGTGAATGTTCAGTCCATTTAACCAAGTCAGGATGCTGAAAGATTCTCCTTTAGAATTAATAACAGGGGATACAGAATGAACTTTTCACATTTTACTTTTCTCTGCATCACTTCCTCTCTCTCTGCTTCCATCTCACCCCAACTGACCTTCCTGCTTGTCGGTTCCTCTCACCCACTCTGTCTTTGTCATCTACACCATAGCACCACATGAGGTAACCTCTGCCCCAAAAGACAGTCATGCAAGTCTTTCATTAGTTCTCCTAATAATATCCCCTAAGCTAAAGGCAAGATCAAAAAAGACATAAATGGAAAGATGTGAAGAAAATGTATCCACATATCGTTCTCTCTTTGTCTTCTCTATTTTAAAAAGCCAAACGCCGTGCAGCTGGGGGTGTTGCGTGTAAAGAAAAGTTAATTGGCTAGCGTTAAGTGGCTTAACAACCCCACCAGCTAATGGTGTCCGTTTACAGCCAAGTGAACCAAACCCAGCAAACCAGTGAGCGGGGGCCCTGCTGTGCCCACAGGCTGAGCCGGTCAACTTGAATTGGACTCACCTGAGAAGCAGAATTTATTCCAGTTTGATTCACTCAGATTTGCTGGTTTAATTAAATGACTGACCGATGGTCACGGACACGGGTTAAACAGCTTCCTTGAAAAACGGAAAGGAACAGGAGTGGATGGACACGTGTTTGCTGAAACGGAAGATTGTTTGAACCCTCTGAGAACCCTGTTTGATGTCCAGTATGGGATCTCGAGTGGTAACTGATTTCCTGCTGTTTCCCCTCTGTGTTGTGTAACAAATTCACTTTTGGCTGATCATCAAGGAAGTTGCCCCAATGTTTACTCCATGGGTTGCTTTTGATAATAAGCGCCAATTTTTATTTAATTCTTAATCAGTGTGGCATGTCAACATAGTGTTAACATTAAGTTTAATTATGACAACACATTAATATTTAAACATCCAAGATGTCATTTTATTCCATCAATAAAGGTTAAGCGCCTAGCAACAACATTTAGTTCTCATAATCAGACTCCTTATGAGAGGTTGATGCAGGAGGAGCTGCTCCATCTCCAGCGTGATGTCTCGTTGCATTTGACCATTTGGTCACAAAGAGACCAGAATATTTGCACTTAGTAGGATCTGAGCTAATTCCATCAGAAACATACTCCCCCATAAATATCCCTGGGAAACTGAATCTGTGGGCTCATGTTGAGTCTTTTTGTAAATATCACTTTTTAGTGGCATGCAGTCAGTGTGTGTGTGGAAGTTGAACAGCATTCTGGTTTCCTTTTCCCCAGAACTATAAAGCCTGGAGATTATTAGTTAACTGTCACTTGGTTAGCCTCCGTCCCCACTCAAACCGCAAATAAAAAACATTTCACATCTGTACCAGCTTTGAGAAGGTGAACTACACTGCTGTACACTCACCTTCTGCAGGCTGGAGCATTTTATATCATTTCAGTGGCTTCTTTGATCTGAAGTGCTTTCTCAAGTTCGCGTTGACCTGGTCCATGAGCTATTGTGCAGTTTTTCAATAATTAAACAATATTAACAAAAAAGAATGAATCACATCCGTGCATGCTAAAACGAATTGCCTGGTCAGCCTCCAGACATCTTTTATGCATTGTGCTCATTCACAAACACACATGTTTTCAAGACTCACTCAAGAAGAAAACCAGAAAAAAATGGAAAACTGGATGGCGAAATGGACAAAACGCTCAATGCATGAAGGTTAATAGTTTCCCAAAGTAGTTAAATGTTTGTAAGCCACAGTTAGGGCTTGAGCACTAAGGTATAAATCCGACATCTTCCATCCAAACAACAGTTGCCTGACACAGACACAAACAAGCATGCAAATATGCTATAAATCTCCAGGTTAAATGCACTAGCTGGACTCATGCCAAACTTTATTTCCAGTTTAAACATCAGAACTGACTGTCAGTCTCGTCTGCGTCTGACCTCCACAGACGTTTTGTGCCAAACACTAGACAAGTGAAGACAATATTACACACAAATCTCCCCCCCCCCCCACACACACACACACACACACCAGGCAAACATTGTGTAACTCTAAGCAACGATGCATAGTGACTCAACACATTACAACCAAATGAGGGAAAAGTGCAGTCTTAATAAAGTCATATAGTATAAAGTAAAGAGCGAATCATAAAATGCGATTAATCTCATATGGCTCCTATTCATCTACATTAATCCGGAGGGACAGACTTTCAGGGTTGGATGTCATATTATATACGAGTGACAGCTCAGTCAGAAAGGAAAAAGCTCAATGCTCATGGAAGACGTTGAGTCGGATGGAGGTGAGCAGGCAAGGAGCCAGGAATGATTGATTGAACATCTGCAAAGCCCCGTCTTGTTCACTTGTGGAAGTGGACAGGAAAGTAAAAGAGAAAAGCCTTAATGCTGCCAAAGGCAGTTTTAATCTGACCGCTTTCTAAGACCAACAGTGACCAGAAAGAGGGACGTTTACCTTTTTAAAAAAGGCGAAAGT